GTCGCTCTTAGCCTGGGTCATTTACTGGGAAGGTACGGCGCTTTTGCTTTACAGACAGCCTGATGTTCAGTTAGCTAAAAGCACAAAAGGCAGCAGCCTCTGTGGGGTCTTTCTTCTGCCCAAGGACATTAGGAAATGCAAACATTCCGTTAAACCTCTCTACTCACATCTTATTGGGATGGGAGCTTTCTATGCTTTAAATCTCTTTGCCTAATTATGCTTTATAGATTGAAATAGGATAAGGAAAAGAGGTAAATGTGCTGCAGAGTGAGCCAAAGTCTCATGGTGGGGTATAATTATTGGCTTTTCCTCCTAGCTGTTGGTTTTTTTTTTAGGGAACCCCAGAGCAGAGAAGGCGCTCAGTTTGCAGAATGAGCTCCAGACCCTAGGCTCTAAAATGGTGTGAGGGTTTATAAAGCCAATGAGGAGGTGTGGTGACCTTTCAGCTTCTTGTTTTGGCTTGGTGTACTGCAAGGTCACTCACCACCAGTGTCTTTCTTACTCAGGACTGACTTAGGACAGTTCTACCTGTTTGCCCCAAAACACGACTCTCTTTCAGTGTTGGGGCAGAATAGGTATCTAGAAACTGTAGGAATTTTAATACTCAGGTTTGTAGAAAGAGGAGGGAAAAAACTTTGATAGATAAAACCTTGCTTATCCTAGAAGTTGACAACCTACTTGTTTTTATGCCTGAAATTGAAAATTGACACTAGACAGCAATGATATTTTTTTGTGGAGTATTAAAACAAATTTTAGAGATTAAACTGATTTTTTTTTTTTCTCTAAAGAAAGTAAACCAGTGTGGGATGAGGAAGGAAGGTGTTTTTGACAAGGTCTTGCCACATTGGAGTCCTGCCTGCCTCAGCCTCTCAGTTAGCTAGGACTCCAGGCACACTGTTAGTGATGGTGTTTTGTCCTCCCCTATATGACACTGCAGTTAGGCCCATAATCGATTTAAAAATATACATATTTACTTATTTAATTTCATTTGTTATTATTTTTTAATTTGACCAGAGAGAGAGAGAGAAAGGGAAAGGGAGATAGCAAGCCACCAGTTCCAGGACTCAAACCAAAGAGTCGCTCTTAGCCTGGGTCATTTACTGGGAAGGTACGGCGCTTTTGCTTTACAGACAGCCTGATGTTCAGTTAGCTAAAAGCACAAAAGGCAGCAGCCTCTGTGGGGTCTTTCTTCTGCCCAAGGACATTAGGAAATGCAAACATTCCGTTAAACCTCTCTACTCACATCTTATTGGGATGGGAGCTTTCTATGCTTTAAATCTCTTTGCCTAATTATGCTTTATAGATTGAAATAGGATAAGGAAAAGAGGTAAATGTGCTGCAGAGTGAGCCAAAGTCTCATGGTGGGGTATAATTATTGGCTTTTCCTCCTAGCTGTTGGTTTTTTTTTTAGGGAACCCCAGAGCAGAGAAGGCGCTCAGTTTGCAGAATGAGCTCCAGACCCTAGGCTCTAAAATGGTGTGAGGGTTTATAAAGCCAATGAGGAGGTGTGGTGACCTTTCAGCTTCTTGTTTTGGCTTGGTGTACTGCAAGGTCACTCACCACCAGTGTCTTTCTTACTCAGGACTGACTTAGGACAGTTCTACCTGTTTGCCCCAAAACACGACTCTCTTTCAGTGTTGGGGCAGAATAGGTATCTAGAAACTGTAGGAATTTTAATACTCAGGTTTGTAGAAAGAGGAGGGAAAAAACTTTGATAGATAAAACCTTGCTTATCCTAGAAGTTGACAACCTACTTGTTTTTATGCCTGAAATTGAAAATTGACACTAGACAGCAATGATATTTTTTTGTGGAGTATTAAAACAAATTTTAGAGATTAAACTGATTTTTTTTTTTTCTCTAAAGAAAGTAAACCAGTGTGGGATGAGGAAGGAAGGTGTTTTTGACAAGGTCTTGCCACATTGGAGTCCTGCCTGCCTCAGCCTCTCAGTTAGCTAGGACTCCAGGCACACTGTTAGTGATGGTGTTTTGTCCTCCCCTATATGACACTGCAGTTAGGCCCATAATCGATTTAAAAATATACATATTTACTTATTTAATTTCATTTGTTATTATTTTTTAATTTGACCAGAGAGAGAGAGAGAAAGGGAAAGGGAGATAGCAAGCCACCAGTTCCAGGACTCAAACCACAGTTGGCCATGTGGGAATCCAGCGCCTTTAACCACCAGCCACCTGCCGGTCCCCCATAATTGATTTTTTTAATAAAAAAAAATTAATTTTCATATAAGTAGTAATTGAGTACTGACTAAACTTATTAATTAAATAGAAAATATTATCTGATGAGTTTCTCATCTTTTACTCATCTTTATATATTTGGTCTCCAGCAAAGCATCTGAGCTGTGGTATGTTCTTAGTAGACATTTGATGAATGAGTTTGGCTATATTTAAAATAAATGGTCCCGGGACCGGCAGGTGGCATGGTGGTTAAGGGCATGGATTCTCATATGACTGACTGTGGTCTGAGTCCCAGACCTGGCAGCTTGCTTTCTCACTTTCCCTATCTCTCTTTCTCTCTCATTCTCACTCTCTGGTCCAATTAAAATAAATAAATAAAGTTAAAATAATAAAAATCTTTAAAAAATAAAATAAAATAAATGGTCCCATCATGCCCATGGCAGATGCAGTTAAATAATCGAGGCCTTCTTTGCTGCATAGCTCTGATGAAATTTTTTTTAACAGTCTTAGATGCCTACTAGTGTTCTAATAGAATTACCAAAGGAGATAAAAAATTAATTTGTCATCTTGTATGTAGACATAAATGGGTACTACTTAATAAATTAAACCTGTATTAATTCATTTTTAATTATTGAAAATTCTTGTTCTCCCAAGTTATTTTCCTGTTTAAGGTACTTGCCTTTTGTGTGCTCTCTTTCAAGCCTTAGCTAATTTCCCTAGTAGAGGACTCTACAAATTTAAAGAAGGCATTTTCTCAGGTATGCCAGCTATGCAATTAACTCTTATGGTGCTGGCATATAATTTGTTGTCAGAGGTCATCCTGTATGGGAAATCTCCTAACTTTTCTCTTCTACTCAAGTCAACCTCGAAACCATGTATACAAAGGATACATATGACATTTATAGTTTCCTAGTACTTTTGTAAACTTATTCCTTGAGAATATTTCTAAAATGTCTGTTTTTAATATTTTTAAAAACTAGTCCTCAATTATCTTTATTATGATTCCACAATAAGAAATACATTGGAGGGACCAGCAGTTAGCGTAATGGCTATGTCACTGAACTCCTATGTAGTCGATCATGGTTCGAGTCCTGGACCCGGTGGCTTAAACTCATGCTGGGCGCATGTGCATGAGTGCCCAAGATCCTGAGAGGAGAATGAAGAAGGGATTGCAATGTGGCCATCCCCCCTAGGGGGTGATTTCTCGCTTTCTATCTCTCTGTCTTTCTGGTGAGCGCACGCGCCCTATAGCAAAAACCTCTCCAAAAAAAAATACATTGGAACCCAGCACATGTGTATTGTTGACAGAAATAACCAACTCTGTAAAAATAATTAATGCAGTTTATTTCTAAGCAGAATATGAGTGACCTAGGCCCAGAGAGGAGGCGAAATACGCTCTTGTCAGGGTGATCAAGTACAGGGGTTTCTTTTCTTTGATTTTGAGAGCAAGAGACAGGGTTTGGAATTTAGTGAAGAGTTTTTCCATTGGTCTGGGCCAAAAGGTGAAACATATGGGAAGGGGAGGGTCTTGTACTTATAGGTAGGTTTATAGTTTTTACGTTGGTGATTGGAAAAGTTGCTGAGGTCGGAAAAGAATATACTTTAATAGAGATAAGGAGGCTTAATATACATCACAAAGATACTGTGCTGGGGCAGGATGTACAAAGAATCCTGCTACCAGTGGGTCAAAATGGTCAGTTAATGTTTGTGGATGTGCCTCCCTGCACGCCCTCTGAAAAGGGTTTTGGAAAATAGGAAAAAGCAGTCGGACTTTTGTCCTCAGTACATACACATAAGAGTGTATGTAAGAATATAGTTCTATATTTTTAACCACACAAAAACTTGAACATAAGTGAAAATAATGAAAATGCTGGTAAAATATTTATGCCGTACTGTCTTCTTAATTGACTCACAGTTGGTACTTAGGTTACACACAAATGGTATTTCTGTCTATGAATTTGTAACATAGCAGTTGTGATTTCTCTTTAGGGCACAACTGGAGAATGAAAAGAAGAAAAGAGAAATAGCAGAAAAGGAAAAGGAAAGAATAGAACGGGAAAAAGAAGAGCTAATGGAACGTCTAAGGCAAATTGAAGAACAGACAATGAAAGCCCAGAAAGGTAAAAGCTTCTTTTTGACAATGGATAGTCAAAGTTATTGCTGTGTTGTCAGATAGTAGCATTTCCTTACCATTATTAAATCATAGTTGTGTAGTAAAGGAAAATCGCATTTTATTGCCAGATTGAATACTTAAATCACATCATAAATATGTTTAAGGCACATTTTGTTATGCAGTGCACATGTTTTTTCTTTTAAACACCCAACTACTTTTCATGTGTACTCCTTTATATATCTCTATTAATTTATCTATTAGGATTCAGGATTTATTAATTTATCTATTAGGATTCCATAAACAAAAATTATTCAATACTTCATGACATTTAAACAAAAGCATTTATGTAGTGCTTTAAGGATAATTAAGTATCTACAGGCTTTTAAGTAATTTAAAGTATTTCTAGCTATTTTGACTATAAACTTTTTTAGGAACCCAACCCTTAAGATTTGACTTTAGTATTAGAAAATAAACAATATGGGTTCAGCCCTGTGGTCTGGTGGTTAACAGAGCCAGAACTCACATGACCAACAATGCAGTTTGAATCCTGGAGCTGGTAGTTTGGAAAACCATGTGTTTCTCTATGCAAAAATGCATCTTGACTTTCTCAATGACCCAGTAAAAAGGATACATTGAATTTATACTGTATGGCTTATAGTAAATAACTCTCAAATACTACTTTCACACAGCAAAAAGAAAAAAAGGTATTGAGGAAAAAATAGGATGTTTTGCTTCTTCCTAAGCAGTAGGATCTCAGAGGGTATACCAGGAAGTCTATACTAATTATTAAAATAGATTTAATACCTACTTGCCTAACAACCAGCCATTCACTTCTCTTGGAAATAACCAAGAATCTTATTTAAAGTTTATTTTCATTCCTTACACCAGCTGATAGTGCTGGGAAGATGTTTTTGAGCAGTGGGTCGAATAATTTGCAAGTGGGAGCTAGACGAGGAATTCACAAATATTGCTTATAAATCAACAAACTGATTGATCCATTCCACTTCTAAGAGGATTGGAAATAATTTTTGTAAGAGAAGAAATTTTTTAAATCCCTGGGTTTTCATTCTGAGTCATTAGAATCCTTACTTCTTAGTTGCATAAAAGATGTAGAAGCTTAGTCCAAGCCCAAAGTTAGTAAAGCATTTGTTTGCAGACCACAACTCAGAGATAGAATTGGTTTCTTAAATTCCAGTTTGATGCTTCTGCCACTTTAGGTGCCTTTTTCATCAATCACAGCAGACATTAATGTTGCATTCGGGGAATACAAATACATAACATACATAGGAGTGAGGTCTGTGTAGTTTGCAGAAATTTGTATGTAAATAAAGTCAGATAATGTACAATGTCCTAGGAATAGTATAAATAAAATTTTTAGAGGAGAATGCTGTTAAAAAAAAAAAGGTAGATTAAGGATCAGCAGGTGGTGTAGTGGTTAAGGCATGGGCTTGAGTCCTAGACCAATTGGCTTGAGAATCATGCTGGGGGCATTCTTCTGGGATGAGAATTGAGAAGGGATTGCAGCATGGCCATCCCCTCTGGGGAGTCATTTCTCACTTTCCCTTTCTCTTTCTCTCTTCAACATATGTGCCCTGTGGCACAACCTATAAAACAAAAAAAGCAACAAAAAAAACTAGATTGTACTAACGTATATTAAAAATAGTTTAAAAACACTTCTTGGTACTGGTCTTATTTTAAAGAAAAGATTGAATTATAGCACTATTTCATATACATAACACCTTTTCTGATAGAATAGCTACTTACCAAATCTTTTGATCTTATTTATTTAGGCTGTGTAATAAAAATATTAATGATTTATGTACAGAAAACTACTCAAAGAAGCACTAAGGAATATAAGGAAGATAGACATTAAGAAAGAACATAGAGCATCCCTATCAAGATCATTTCAAACAGTCATCTTAAGGCAAAGGACACCAATTTGTTTTTTGTATTTTTTAATAAAGCTTTTCAAGGTTGTCCTAAAATCTGCATGATTGTCTGTAATTTATGCTACATTCTAATTCAGATGCAGTAACTGACCTTATTTAAGTCATGATATTTAGCACATTAACTTACAATTTTTTGTCTGAGAAGCTTTTTTTATAATTTATTATTGTCATTTTGTTTTTTAAAAAGTTTTTGTTTTATTTTGGTTTTTGCCAAAACAGAGAGAGAGAAAAAGTGAAAAATCACCCCACAGGGGACCACACCACAGTCCCCTCTCCATTCTTCTTTTGGGATTTTGGATACATATGCACATATGCCCAGCATGATTTTAAAGTTGTTGGGTCTAGCACTCTAAATATGGTGGTCATGTGGAAATCTAGCACCTTAACCACCACTCCTCCTGCTGGTCCTATGTTTTAAAAAATTTTTTAATTGAAGTCATTATTATTTGAAATGAATCATTAAATAGTACCATTCTTCCATTTTACATTTCCATTATGCATCATGGTTAAATTATCTTTATCATTTTTTAAACCATCTTCAAGATACATTGCTGCTGATATTTGAGATGAAATATAGTCAGACCTGTATTAAATTACTGTTCCAACAAATGTCTAAGTGAATTCCCATCTTCAAAAAGATAAATCATACAAAGGACCTGGATGTAATGATTTCATTCATTCTGAATACATACTAAGCACTTATGGGTACTGGGCACTGTTTTGGGTGTTGGGGGTATAGTACCAAACAGATGAAATCCCTACACTAATGCAGTGTATATTTTATAGAGGGAAGACAGAGTAATGAAATAAATAACAAAATCATTTTATGTAATATTAAGTACTATGATTCAAGTAAGCACAATAATGTGATAAAGAGTAGTTAAGGATAAGAGGGAGATTTACACTTCAGATACACATTGTTCACAGTTAGGAGCAAGAATTTTAATCTGTCAGCTCAGAATGTGCTATAAACAAGTCATTTAAACCTCTCAGTTTCCTAATTTGTAAAATATAAGTAAATAATGCTAACTTAGTGCTCTGAGACTATTTTAAAAAATGTAATTGTATTGGAACTAGCAGATGGTGTAATGGTTATATTGCTGGATTCCTACATAGCTGATCTCAGTTTGAGTCCCAGACCCGGAGACTTGAAACTCATGCCAGGCACGTGTGCTTGTATGCCCAAAATCCCAAGAGGAGAATGGGGCAGAAGGTTGTGATGTGGCCATCCCCCTGAGGGTTGATTTCTTACTTTCCATCTGTCTGTCTCTCTGGCAAGTACATGGACCCTATAGCAAAAGTCTCTCTTTTTAAAAAATAAATAAATAAATAAATAAATAAATAAATAGTAGTTGTGTTTATAAAAACTAAGAAAATTTTTTGCTGATGTACAGACAGAAGCATTAATTTGCATGCCTCTTAGGTATAAGACTCAGTGAATTTTTACCAAGTGAATTATTCTTGCAGCTACCCAGAACAAGGTACAGAATATTATCTGCACTCAGCAAACCTTCCTTATCTTCCCAGTCATTTTTTCTTTAACCCCAAACGTGATTTATGTAATTCTGGCTTACATAATCTTCTCTGTTTTTATTCCAATAGCTCCTTTGAGATATATTTCAGAGACCATCCAATAGCTCCTTTGAGATATATTTCATAGACCATACAGTTAATCGTTTAAAGTATACTATTTAATTTAATGTTTTTGGGGGTGTGCACAAAGTTGTGCAACTATCACCACAGTCAATTTTAGAACTTTTCCATCATCCCCCCAAAAAATCCTCTACCTGTTGGCATTCACTGCCGTTTCTTCCTAATACTGTCTCCCCCATCAGAGGCAGCTGCTAATCTACTTTCTCTGACTATAGGTTTGCCTGTTCTGAACATGTCAGATAAATGGAATTACATAAAATGTGGTCTTTTGTGACTGGCTTCTTTCACTTAGCATATTATCAAAATTCATCTATGTGGTAGCATGTATCAGCACTTTGTTCTTTGAGGACCTGCCAAACTAGTTTCTAAAGGGATTGCTATTATTACATTCCTCCTGTCAGTAACTTGTCTTCGGATTCTAGTCATGCTAATGCATATAAAGTGATACTTCACAATTTTGATTCCCCTAATGTCTGATGAAGTTGAGCATCTTTCTATATGTTTATTGGCTATTAATATTATCTTTGGAGAATAATGTTCAAATCTGCTACCCATTTTTTAATTGCATTATTTGTTGTTATTAAAATGGTTCGTTGTGTATTGGGGACACAAGCCTCTTATCAGACAAGTGATTAACAAATATTTTCTCCTGTCCTGTGGGCTATCTTTAACTTTGTTAATGATGTTATTTAGTGGCTTTTAATTTAGGTGTAGTCCAGTTTATGTTTTCCTTTCCTTGCTTGTGCTTTTGGTATCATTCCTAAGAATAGTCTTCCTATTTTTGAACTATATAGAAATGAATTTATATATTCATGTATCTGGCTGCTTTTTGCTCAGACTTGTATATGTAGTTGTAATTTGTTTTCTTATGTTGTGTAATATTCTGTTATATGTATGAGGGAACTTGAAAATGTAGAAAAATGAAATTAAAAGATAATTAAAAAGATATACTTTATTTCTTAGCATTAGCTCCCTCAAGTTCAAGAGTTAACCCTTTGTAAATTGCTGATTTCTTTAGGATGTTGTCCCCATAAACTTTTTATAAAGCATTTATAATTTTATTGTTCATCCATCCATGCTTCTCCATAAATTTGAACCAAGTTTGTTCTTGCTTCAATTTTAGCAGAATGTATGTTGAAAACTTCACCAGTAAAGTTAGGGGATGATTGAGTTCAAGTCTGATTGAGAAAGAGAGGCTTTCTTAAATTTTACTAGTTTGAACTTAGAATAACTTTCCTGGTCTACTCCCAATTAAGCACAATAACAATGTACAGCACTATGACATTATTAATCAGAGGGGTGGTTTGTTTTTGTAAATTTTAGCTTTTGTCCTGAAAGAGCTGATATTCTAAATAAGCCAGATTCTTTGGTATTTTTTTCTTGCATGCTAGATCTAAAAAATGGTTAAGCTCTAAATTTTTATGATCAGGATAGGCAAAAAGTGGATGGTATTCACTTTTCTCATCCAGTCCTTTTTTTTTTTTTTTTACCAGCATTTTAAGTGGACCCATGGTCTAAAGGGACGTTTGTTTCACAGAAATATTCTAACTCATGAACATTTTTTTTTTGGAGAGGTATTTGCTATATAGCGTGCGTGCTCGCCAGAAAGACAGAGAGAGACAGAAAGCGAGAAATCACCACCCAGCGGGGATGACCATGCTGCAATCCGTTCTCCATTCTCCTCTTGGGATCTTGGGCATGCACACACACGTGCCCGGTGTGAGTTTAAGCCTCCTGGGCTAGGACTCAAACCATGGTTGACTACATGGGAGTCCAGTGACACAGTCATTACACCAACTGCTGGTCCCACATGAACATTTTTATAAGAGAACTAGACAGTAAATATTTCAGGCTTTGCAGGGTATGCAGTCTCTATCCCATCTATTCAACTCTGCAATAGCAGTGTGAAAGAAACCACATACAATGCCTAAATGAGAATGTCTGTGCTCCAGTATAGTTTTATTTACCAATCAAAAAAAGGCATCAGGTTGAATTTAGTCATGAGCCATAGTTCTAACTCACTTAATTGGAAAGCAACAAAACAGAAGTCATTTATAGGATGTATGATGAGTCAAACCTTTTTTTCTAGAAAAGACTGGAATGATATTTTCAGAGTTTATTTTCAACATTTAAAAAACTTAGACCTTGGGACCAGCAGGTAGCGTAAGGGCTATGTCGCTGTACTCCCATGTAGTTGACCGCGGTTCGTGTCCCAGACCCAGTGGCTTAAAACTCACATCGGGCACGTGTGCGTGCATGCCCAAGATCCTGAGAGGTAAATGGAGGAGAAGGGATTGCGGCGTGGCCATCCCCCATGGGGGTGATTTCTCGCTTTCTGTCTGTCTGGCGAGCGCACACGCCCTATGGCAAAAAACCTCTCAAAAAAAAAAAAAAAAACCACTTAGACCTTCTACCGTTTGTAACATATACCAAAACAGTCATAGCCTTATTTGTCATTTTTCAATTTGATATTTATTAAAAGCTGATAGATCATAATATTGGAGATACTTATTTCAAAATTTAAATTTTCTCATAGTACAAAATCTTTATGAAAGTGTTATTTTTTAGTTTTATTTGTATTTACTTATCTATGTATCTGTCTGTCTGTATATTATTTTGCCAGTGGGTATGTGCACTTAACCAGAGAGAGATGAAAAAGTTGAGATAGCAACCTTCATGGGAAATGGTTACACCACAATCCCTTCTCCATTCCTTCCTGCTTTCAGGATTTTGAGCACACAAGTGCATGTGCCCAGCATGATTTTTGAACTACAAAGTCTGCCATGTGGGATCCAGCCCCTTAACCACACCACTGACTGGCTCTTTTATTGTTTACTGTGGTGAAATTTACTGTCTTAAAATACCCTCCCACCCCCTTTTTCTTTAATCACCAGAAGGGACATTAGTTAACCAGAGAGTCAGAGAGACAGGCAAAAAGAGCCCTTCAATGGGGCGTGGTCGTGCTGCAATTCTTTGTCCTCCATTCCTCCATCTTGTCAGGATTGGGGGAATGCATTTAAGCACATGCATCCAGTTTGTTTTTCAAGCCTCTGAGACCGGGATTCAAACTGCACAGTTGGCCATGTGGGATCCAGTTCTCTTAACCACTAGGCTATGGGCCTAAACCTTAGCCGTTTTTTTTTTTTTTTAATTACTAGAGAGTATGTATGTGTACTTGTTAAAGAGAGAACAGAGGACAGAGATAGGGTGTGGAGAAAGCACACCTCAGTGGGGAATGGTTGTGTTGCCATCCCTTTTCCTCTGTTTCTCTATCTTGTTGAGATTCAAAACATGCATATGCATCTGCCCAGAATGCTCTCAAGCTACCATGGCTAGAACTTACACCCAGGTCAGCCATGTGAGATCCAGCTTATTTAACCACTGCGCTATGGGTCCAGCATATCTTTTCTGGCTGCCAATGCACAGCACTTAACCACTAAGCCCAGGGCCAGACCTTATTATTATTATTATTATTATTATTACTGATTTATTTTATTCATGATAATGTGTATACACACATGAAAGATAGAGAGAGAGCACAGTACCCTCCACAGGGTCTATTCACACCAAGATCCCTTTTCACCAGCTTCCAGCTCATCAGGATCCTGGACCCAAGCATGTATGCCTGATGTGTTTTCAAGTCCACTTGGGATTCAGAACCTGTGTTTGGCCATGTGGCTTCCAGCACTGCAGTTTACTTTGTTACCAACTGCATCACCAGGCTGGAACCTACTAGCTAAATAAGAGTTGTGAAATTAATGTTTACAGTTAATATTTTAAAACTCATTTACAATTTTTCTTTTTTTAAATTTTTTTTTTGAAGAGGTATTTGCTATAGGGCGCATGCGCTTGCCAGACAGTGAGAGACAGAAAGACAGAAAGCGAGAAATCACCCCCCAGGGGGGATGGCCACGCCGAGATCCCTTCTCCTCCATTCTCCTCTCGGGATCTTGGGCACGCACGCACACGCACCTGGCATGAGTTTTAAGCCACTGGGTCCAGGACGCAAACCACGGTCGACTACATGAGAGTCCAGCGACATAGCCATTATGCTAGCTGCTGGTCCCAAACTCATTTACAGTTTTTCTAGTTTTGTGTTAATAATTTCCTTTTTAATTCAACTCACTAGAATAAGAAAAGATCATTGATTTTATGACCTATACACTTAAGAATTAAAATTCATGTCATTCATCTCCAAATACTACTTACTCTTCATGCCTTTGGACTGAATATGTACCAATAACTCAAAATTTTCAGTAATTCATATAATAACATCAGTATTCATATTTTGGGTCAATAAGTATTGCTTATAATCTTAATTTCTTTGGTTAACTTATTTAACACTTAGTTTATATAAATAAAAACTTAAAAGCTTTAAATTGTGTTATTTATTGACTTTAGAAACAGTTTACTAAACTAAATGGAGAGCTTATTTAAGGAAATAAGGTATGTACTTCTGATCTTATTGCACAACTCAAATTACGAAGGATTTTTATTTCTTTGCATTTTAGAATGAGGTAACAGATTAGGCTTTTGCTGTTAAAACCAGGGTTTGACACTGGTGCAGTGGCAAAATGCGAAGCTCTGCAAGACCAGTCTGTGTGGGAAGGTTTCTCGTTCTTGTCCAGAGAGCTCTGTGAATATACTGGGCATGCAAGATCTGGGGTGGTTGCAGCTGGGAGTGGATTGTGGCACTAAGACCCTGTTGAGGGTGCTGTATCTCTTGTCTGTCTCTTTTCTGTCTCTTTATTTACTCAGGAAGTAAATAAACTTTACCAAAAAATACCAAGAATTAGGTATATGCATGTTTGCATATGTGCTGATTTTTGGCAACTGTACAAATTAGAGTCCTGTATACTATTTCAGCTTCTTTTGATAGTGAGAATAATTGGAATTAATCCTCGTTTGGGGTTGGGGGTACATATATTTGACAGAACTAGAAGAACAGACTCGAAAAGCTCTAGAACTGGATCAGGAGCGAAAACGGGCAAAAGAAGAAGCAGAACGGCTTGAGAAGGAGCGTCAAGCTGCTGAAGAGGCTAAGTCTGCTATAGCGAAACAAGCTGCTGACCAGATGAAGAATCAGGAACAGCTAGTAAGGAACCATCCCTCTATTGTAGTCAGAAAAGAAACACTTAAATAAAAGCATGGAGGGAAGCTTCCACAACTATGTATATTGCACCTCTTAGAAGCAAAACAGTGATACAAGTAACTTAATAACAAAGTGTAGCAATAAAACTAAGACACTGAACTTCCACCTAAAGAAAACTCTCTAAAAACAGAGTAAAAGGTGTTTTCTATACATAAATGAATGCATTGCCAACAAAAGATTTCGATTCACTTAGACTTGGACAGGTTCTGCATTCTGCAATGAGCCAGCTAGCAATTTTTGCTTTAGATAAATTAACACAGTATGTTTCAAGTTCCCATAAGAAACTATAATTCATAATTGGTTGGACTTTTTGCTTACTTAGTAGACTTGCAAATAATGAACAGTAAGCATGACACTTAAAAGATCCTGGATTTAAGGACCAGCAGTTGGTGTAATGGCTATGTATGTTCCTGGATTCCCATGTAGTTGACTGTGGTTCGAGTCCCAGACCCAGTGGCTTAAACTCACGCTGAGTGCATGTGCGTGCGTGCCCAAGATCCTGACAGGAGAATGGAGGAGAAGGGATTGTGGTGTGGCCATCCCCCCTGGGGGGTGATTTTTCGCTTTCTGTCTCTCTGTCTTTGTGGCGAGTGCACACACCCTATAGCAAAAACCTCTCAAAAAAAAAAAAAAAAGAAAGAAAAGAAAAAAAGAAAGATCCTGAATTTAGGTATTCGTTGAGGCATTCATCTGCTACATCTTTTCCAGGCCTCAGTTACCTCCTATTGAAAAGTGGAATGATGCCATCTAAAAGAATTGTTAGAGAATCAAATGAAATTATGTGACAAAGTGCTCCTATTTTTTTTTTTTCTTTTGTAGACGTGAGCAAATAGTTCTTTATTGATAAAAGTTTAAAAAGCTTCTCAGTTACACATTTCTTTTTTTTTGGCAGGGGGGAGAGTTTTTTTTTTTTGCTAGAGGGCACGTGCGCTCGCCAGAGACAGACAGACAGAAAGCGAAAACTCACCCCCCGGGGGGGTGGCCATGCCGCAATCCCTTCTCCTCCATTCTCCTCCCAGGATCTTGGGTACGCACGCTCCCGCACCCGGCATGAGTTTAAGCCACTGGGTCCGGGACTCGAACTGCGGTCGACTATGTGGGAGTCCAGTGACATAGCCATTACACTAACTGCTGGTCCCCTCAGTTACACATTTTTAATTCCCTGCTACTGAACAATTAACTGCTTCCTATAGAGTAACAAATTTTCTTTAGCTTTATTAGCTAGATACTTCAAGGATTTAACTATAAATATATTAAAGACATACTGCTTTTTATTGGAAGGCTACCTAAGAAAAACATAAAAACAACCCAAGCATGTACATTAAAGCCATGTTGATTTAACATATCATAAGATTATTCAAAATATATTAAGATTGTTTTTTAGTCTTGGTAATAGTTTTGTTTATTTTAGGCAGCAGAACTTGCCGAATTCACTGCCAAGATTGCACTTCTAGAAGAAGCCAAGAAGAAAAAGGAGGAGGAAGCTACTGAGTGGCAACACAAAGTAATCATTTATTCATTGACTAGCTTTTACTGGGGAGCCATGTTGAACACAGCAGTTTGCTGAATTTAAGAAACTATCACAATTTAGAGAGCAAAAGATATTATGTCTGTGTATTACAGTAAATATTAGTCTTCTCAATGTACACTAAGTACTTTGGTAACTTAGAAGAGGTCGTTAATTCTTTTGGGAGTGAGACAGGTGTTGAGGAAACCTATATACTTTTAAGCTAGATTTTGAGCAATAAGATTTTAGAAGCAGAAAAGATTGAGTGTTTAGGGATGGAAAACGTGGTTATGCCATACAGTACTGAGTAACTATAGAAAGTATGAATGTACATGATAGATTTAAGGACAGCCAATAAGCACCCAAAGCTTAGTATAGAGGATCAGACATGTTGGGAATGACTGGCAAGTTAGAAAATAGGAAATTAATTTGTGGAAGACTTTAAATAAATAAATGTCTTACTACGGCAAGGTATTTAGGAGTGTCTGTAGACATTGGGCATCTGAAGATTTCAGAACATGATCAGGGAGCCACCAGGTGACATGGAAGGTTAAGGTGCTGCATCCTACGTGACTTACAGTGCAGTTGGAGTCCCAGACTCTTTGGCTTGAGAATCACACTGAGTGAGTGTGTGTGCATGCCCAAAATCCCAAGAGGAGAATGGAGGAAGAGTGTGGCCATCCTCCCGAGGGGTGAATTTCTCACTTCCCCTCTTTCTTTCTGTCTCTTCCTCTGGCCAACACAGGTACCCTATAGTAAAACTAAAAACAAACAATTGTGATCAAGTATGATTTTATAAAAAAGAACTTAGCAGTCATTAAGAAGAATAAATTGGAATGTTAGGTTTTTTGTTGGTTTGTTTTAAGAATTACTTAATTTATTATTATTATTTTTTTAATTTGACTAGAGTGAGAGAAAGGAAAAGTGAGAAAGCCAGCTGCTAAATCTAGGACTTGAACCATAGTTGGCCATGTGGGAGTCCAGCACCTTAACCACTATGCCACCTGACAGCCCTGGAATAGTAGGTTCTTAAAGATACCCAACCCTGGGACCAGCAGTTAGCTTAATGGCTGTGTCGCTGGACTCCCATGTAGTCGACCACAGTTCGAGTCCCGGACCCGGTGACTTAAACTCACGCTGGGCGCGTGTGCGTGCGTGCCCAAGATCCTGAGAGGAGAATGGAGGACAAGGGATTGTGGCATGGCCATCCCCCTGGGGGGTGATTTCTCACTTTCTATCTCTCTGTCTGTCTCTGTCTGGCGAGCGCACGCGCCCTATAGCAAAAACCTCTCCAAAAAAAAAATAAGATACCCAACCCAAACTAAGGATGTGGCAGTGAGAATATAGAGCAGTGGTAAGGGTTAAGAAATTTTCATGGTGAACTTGAAAGGACATGGCAGCCAATGATCAGACATGATGCTGAATTAGATGGATGACGCAGTAAAAGATACTGAGATTTCTGAGTTCCGAAGTTGATGCAAGTGCCGTTATCTATAGTAGCATGCAAGTATAAAATCAAACTTTAGCTGTAGGGGTGGGAATTAGAAGATAATGAAAGTTTTAATTTAAATTTAAATGACATTAACTTTTTTTTTTAAGAATTATTTATTTAGGGGGGCAGCAGGTGGTGTGGTGGTTAAGGATGCTGTACTTCCACATGGCTGACCGCAGTTCAAGTCCTGGAAATGGTGGTTTTCTTTTTCTCTCTCTCTCTTTTTCTCCCTCTCTGGTCAAGTTAAAAATACATAAATGAATAAATAACTGAAGTTAAATAAAATAATTCCCCCCCCCCTTTTTTTTTTTTGAGAGAAAGATTTTTGCTATAGAGCATGTGCACTTGCTGGAGAGACAGAAAAATAGAAAGAGAGAAATCACCCCCCAGGGGGTTGGCCATGCCACAGTCCCTTGTCTTCTGTTCTCCTCTCAGAATCTTGAGTACGCAAGCACATGCACCCGGTGTGAGTTTTAAGTTGCCCAGTCCAGGACTTGAACCATAGTCTACTTCCTGGGAGTCCAGCAATGTAACCATTATGCCATCTGGTGGTCCCAAAGTGGTTAAAGTGCTAGACTCCTACATGTCCGACCACAATTCGAGTATTGGACCTAAGAGGTTGATTTCTCACCTATCTCTCTGGTGAGCACATGTGCCCCATATCACATTGAAAAATAATAATGATGATAAATAATTTTTTAAGAATAAAAGCATTATTTATTTGTTATTTACATTTTATTATTTTTCTTAAATAATTATTATTTTTTAAAGTTAATTTTATTTTTTAAATTTATATTTTTCTTAAATTATTTAATTTTGGGACCAGCGGTTGGTGTAATGGCTATGTCACTGGACTCCCATGTAGTCAACCATGGTTCAAGTCCTGGAACCAGTGGCTTAAACTCATACTGGGCGCATGTGTGTGTGCCCAAGATCCTGAGAGGAGAATGAAAACCCCCGCAAAAAAAAAAAAAAAAAAGAAAGAAAATTTATTATTATTTTTTTCTTAAAAAGAAGTATTTAATTATTATTATTATAATTTTTCTTAATTAGTTATTTTATTTATTATTTTTCTAATTGCTACAGTATACATGTGCTCACCAGAGAGAGGGAAAGCAACCCGCCAGATCTAGGACTTGAACCATGGTTGGTCATATGGGAATCCAGTCCTTTAACCACTATGCTGGTAGCCCTGACGTTAACTCTTTTTTCTTTTTCTTTTTTCTTTTTTTTTTTTAGAGATTTTTTGCTGTAGGGTGGATGCACTCTCCACAGAGACAGAAAGTCAGAAATCACCCTCCAGGGATATGGCCATGCTGCAGTTCCTTCACCTCCATTCTCTTCTTAAGGTTTTGGGCATGCACGCATACATGTTCACCATGAGTTTTAAGTTGCCAGGTCTGGGACTTGAACCGTGGTCAGCTGTCTGGGAGGCCAGTGATGTAAACATTATGCTATCTGCTAGTCCCCTGACATAACTCTTAAATGCAACTGTAATACTCATTTCAAAGAAATGTATAGTTATTATGTAATGATTTTTCTACAGTATAATGTACTTGGGGCCAGCAGGTGATTGTAGCAGTATGTTGCTGGACTCCCACCTAGCTGACTGCAGTTCATGTCCCAGAACTGGAGACTTGAAACTCACTCTGGACACATGTGCGTGTATCCTCCTAATTTTGAAAGGAGAATGGAGGAGAAACATGGCCATCACCCTGGGGATGATTTCTTGCTTTCTGTCTCTCTCTGTCTCTCCAGTGTGTGCATGCACCCTGTAGCAAAAAATCTCTCTCGGGAACCAGCAGTTAGCATAATGGCTATGTCGCTAGACTCCCACGTAGTCGACCGCGGTTCATGTCCCAGACCCGGTGGCTTAAAACTCACGCTGGGCACGTGTGCGTTTTTGCCCAAGATCCCGAGAGGAGAATGGAGGAGAAGGGATTGTGGCGTGACCACCCTGCCCTGGGGGGTGATTTCTCGCTTTCTGTCTCTATGCCTCTGTCTGGCGAGCGCACGCGCCCTATAAGCAAAAATCTCTCCAAAAAAAAAAAAAAACAAAACTCTCTCTAAAAAATAAAAATAAAATGTACTTTAACTACAGACAACAGTTTTCTTTCACTTTCAGGTAAGTTTTCTGAAAATTTTAATTTCATTGGGAAAGTTTTGGTATAGTGAATGAATATATTAAGTATAAATTTTTGTAACACAATGAATGGTATAAAATACTCTTAGTCTGTGCATTACAATGCTTTTATTATTAGAATGTTATAGATCCCTTAACTTTTTATTTCTCTTTTTTTGCTATTTTTTCCCCCATTTGCTAGATAGTGTGTGCTCTTAGGAGAGAGGCAGAGAGAACACCCTCCAATGGGGCCTGGCAACACTGCAATTCTTTCTCCATCTCTCTACCCTGTTAGGACCTTGGGCATGTACAGATACGTGCCCAGTACATCTCCCAAGCATCTAGTCAACAATTTGGGATCCCACTCTCTAGGCATATCCAAATTGCTGTGATGTGGGACAAGCCTGACACACAAGCTTTTTTTAAAAGAATTATTTGATTTAACTTTGTTTATTTTAATTCGACCAGAGAGGGACAGAGAGAGAGAGAGAGACTGAGAAATCAAGCTTCCAGCTTCCACGTCCAGGACTCGAACCATGGTCAGCCATGTGGGAGTCCAGTGCCTCTAACCATTGCACCACCTACCGGTCACATAAGCTTTTAATTATGACTTGTTACAAATGCAAATGTTATGAATTATAGTAAATGCACAGAAAAGAAAATAACATTCCTGAAAACTAGAGTCACAATTATAAAACCTCAATGTATATCCTTCCAGCATATTTTCTGGTTGTCTTGTATACATGTGTATGTATATAATTTTTTTTTTTTTTCAAAATGAGATTTTACTCTACATACTACTCCACTTTGGTGAATTTTTATCTCATTCAATATTCAAAATTCCCAATTTAGCCAAAATGTCTTTTATAGCTAATTTTGTCAGACTCATATTCAAAGTAGCATTGCTTCTGTTTAAGTATCTTTTAACGTAGGACAATCGCTCTTTTTATGATACTGATCTACTGAAAGTACTTGCAGAATATTCCTCCTCCTAACTTTGTCTAGTTACTTTCTTGTGGTATCAGTATCCCTAATAATTTTCTATAAACTAGAAGTTAGAGCTAAAAGCTTAAAAATTCATATTAGAAGTTTTTAACATAGAACACATTGTAGGTGAGATTTTCATATAATTTTTTAGTCAAACTAGAGCACTTTTTTTTTTTGGGGGGGAGAGGTTTTCCCTATAGGGCGCGTGCACTCGCCAGACAGACAGAGACAAAGAGACAGAAAGCGAGAAATCACCCCCCAGGGGGGATGGTCACGCCGCAGTCCCTTCTCCTCCATTCTCCTCTTGGGATCTTGGGCACGCACACACACGTGCCCAGCGTGAGTTTTAAGCCACCGGGCCCGGGACGCAAACCGCGGTCTACTACGTGGGAGTCCAGCGACGTAGCCATTACGCTAACTGCTGGTTCCCTAAACTAGAGCACTTTTGAGAGTAAAAATGGATGTTATTAATAATTACACTTGGACAACAGTATGATGCAGGACTTTTCCAGACAAAGTGGGATAATATGATTACCCAAATAATTGGTGATATTGGAAACTTTATGTTGTCCTTTATCAGAAGACACTTCAATATCTAATGATAATTAACCCACCATTAGTGATTTTAATTGATAATTGGAAGAGTAATGACAGTCTGATTTCTCCATTGTCTGATTCTCCTGCAGTTCAAATGTCATGTATTAAATGTGGCATTCTTCATATATCCATTTTTCAACAACCATTTGCAAAACAATTTTAAAAACAATTGATAATGCTTGCCAGACTTAATAATTGTATTAGGGTTTGCAAAATGATGCTTTTAAAATATTTGCTTTCCTTTCTGCTAGGCATCTTCTACTAAAAAAACTTTCATCAATAGGGCTCATTTTATTACCCTGAATTATACTTTGTACTAGGAAAGCAGGGTAAGGCCAGACTGGTACCTGGTGTCTGGGGAAGCCAAGTCCCACATGACTGACCGTGTCCTCAGTGAGAAAAACATGCTGGACATGTGCATGTGCATGTCCCAAATCCCAGAGGATGGAGAAATGGGGGAGGAGATTGCAGCGTGACTATGCCTGATTGGGGAGTGCTCTCTCCGTCTTTTCTCTCTGTCTGGGAGTACGTGTGCCCCTAAGATAAAAATAAGAAAGAAAGGCAGGGTAAATTTATTTATTTAGATGCTAATCTTCAAAGTAAGTTGCTCATAACCTTATTTTTAATGTTCAGGCTTTTGCAGCCCAGGAAGACTTGGAAAAGACCAAAGAAGAATTAAAAACTGTAATGTCTGCCCCCCCTCCACCTCCGCCACCCCCAGTCATTCCTCCAACAGAAAATGAACATGATGAGCACGATGAAAATAATGCTGAGGCTAGTGCTGAATTATCAAACGAAGGGGTAATGAACCATAGAAGTGAGGAAGAACGCGTAACAGAAACACAGAAAAATGAGCGAGTTAAGAAGCAACTCCAGGTATTTAAAATGTGCAGTTGTATGCACGTTTAAAATATAGTTTATATTTTCCCCGTGTAAGACAAACTTATTTTAAAAGAACATGTGATTTTTAGAAGCTGTTAATGGTGGCCAGCCTTGTGATTCACTTAGGCCTGCAGTCATGTTATTTCATTTCTTCCCTTGTGTGACCCCATTCATTAGGAAATGTTTTTAGCTTTGTGTAATCAGGCCTTAAATGATGAGATACTTAATTATAGCTTGACCCATTTTAAAAGGTAGAGATATTCTAATGTCTTAAAAAACAAGTGAATTTAGTTTTTAAACAGTTTACAGTAAAAAGCGATATTTAGTAGACTACTTGTAAGACATTATGTAATCCGAAATACTCATTTAGATTTTGTAATGTCAGTGGTCAGCTTATTGAATGTACATAATTTGATCAAAATGGAAAATTTAAATATTAGTAGAGTTTTTCCAGGTAAGTTCTGTAATGTTTTAATTGGTGAAATCTTCAGATATTAATAAGAAAATGAGGTGATGGTTACAGTAAATTTAAGGCTTTTGAGAAAGCTATCCTCATGTTACAGATTTTAGATCTTGTAGTAACATTGCCTTTTGTAAGTCATTTCAAGCATTGGATTAGAACGCTGAAGTAATTTAAACAATGTACAAAATACAATGGTTGTTGAATATAGAAATGAAAGACTGTGTATTCTTCCATAACCTCCACTGTTACCATACTAAAAATAAACTTACCGGTAAAAAGATGTTTACAGTGGAAAGTTATAGATTTGGTATATGTATATGTATTTTTGCATCTTTAAATTATTTTTAAATCTAATAAAAATATAATAATGTTTTTATTTTTTATATATAGGCATTAAGTTCTGAATTAGCCCAAGCCAGAGATGAAACCAAGAAAACACAAAATGATGTTCTTCATGCTGAGAATGTTAAAGCAGGCCGTGATAAGTACAAGACTCTGCGACAGATTCGACAGGGCAACACAAAGCAGCGTATTGATGAGTTTGAAGCAATGTGAGAGCCGTTATTTTGCATAAATGTTCTTCATAAGCTGAACCACCAACAGAGAAAAGCAGGCCTTTGCAGATGTGATGGAATGCATCCCACCTTGCCAAAGCACTTATACCAGTTTGACTGTGGTGGCTAAAAGACAAATTTAAGGAGAGCTGTTCAACATTAAGGCAGTGTGATGTCATGTTTGTTTTTCTTTTTCTTTTGGGCCAGAGAATGGAGAATGGTGTTCCATCACCTCCTTTCATTTGTTTCATTTTTAATTTTTTTTTTCTGTTGAAGATCAACACTAATTATCATGTATGACAAATGTGTATGTGTGGTTTGAGCACTTTGTACATCTTAAAGGATAATGGTGAACGTTTTAATGAATGTTTTCCCTTGCCCTTTCCATACGTAACCTGTATACATTTCCACATTTTCACTCACTCATATTTTCTTGGTGTGCCCTTTTCATATCCTGCCATATTCATAAATATAACTCTGTCTTCATGCAGATCATTGGCAGTGTTTAAAATGATGGGAGGTAGCTGGATGGAAAAAAGCACAGACTTGGATGATTGTGTAGAAATCGGTAATGAATCATGAAAAGGATTAGAATGTTTAATAGTGTAATGTGCATCTGGTGGTTAGCTTTTTTTAATCCCAGTTTAATTACATTATTGGATATTTGATATCAGCTTACATAATTACAGTAATCTTTGACAGTTACCATTGATTGGTGTTTCATCCCCTGTAACCTTTGATGGTTTTCTTTGCCTGCCAATTCACACAATGTCAACGGCAGGCGACAGTTCTATAAGAGAAATTATTGATGAAACACGCTACCTGCAGATAAGTAAGGTATCTCTGAAAAATTTTGGAAGTTTTGTTCTTTCATGGACTGATTTAGAAAAACAGATATTTAATAAAAGAAAATATAGATTTGTTAGTAATTGATTTTTAATCATTGGGAAAAAACCTGAACTTTCTTGGAAGGGCAACATTTGAAAACATGAGTCCCAAGAAGGGGACAGTAATACTACCTCACTATTACACCTGGTTGTTCAAACACAGTGGAGTGTGTAAGCTATATGTTTTATAATACGTAGTCTCAAACATGAATGGATACTTTTGAGACTTCATTTTCCTTCAGAATTTCTTAAGAGTGCTAAATTTTTAACTGCCTTTTTGTTGAGTTGAACTGTAGGACTCTGATTTGTATTAAAATTGTAAGTTCTCACTGGTATACTGTCTTCCGGGGGGGGGGTGTTGTGTGTCTGAGGAAGTGTGCGCGTGCGCATGCACACATGTGTTGTTTGCGTGTTTGTGTATCAGAGAGAGAGGTTACCCTTGTAGCATATGAAGAATGTCTGTACCTTCATTTCTTGATATAATAGTTACATAATCATTTTAGCATATTTGGTTTCTAAATCACTGTGCTTTTTTCCAGTCTCTTAACTAAAACTACTTAAATTTGGTTTGTTAATCCTATTTTAGAAATTATAAATTTAGGTTATATTAATTTCAATTATGTCTTGCTGAAGAAATCTTTCCAGATAGAAAGTTGTTCTAATCTTTACAGTTTCAAGTATTTTCTTTGTTGTAAAACACCTAGATTTAAAGATATGAAAGCCTTGTTTTCTCTGTGTGGTTCAGCTGCTTTTCATTTGGTATTATGCATTCAAATTTACATTTATCTTTTAAAATTGCCATTTTATTAAACATTTTTCATGCACAGTAGATTCAAATTGTGTCAGAAATTATCTCTTGTGCTTTTTTAATTTTTGCTGACTTGAAAAGGATTAATCTGGGCAGACATGAAAAGGAGAGGCTGCATTTAATATATTTTTTTGGACTTTGTAGGACAAAAAGATAACTGGTTAATCTTGAAGTGACTTTTGTACAGTGGTTGTGCACATGCTTCAAAACTCTGGAAGAGAATATTTCTGCCTGCAGTACATCAGAGAAATAGATGGTGGACCCCACTATTCATGCTTTGAAAATATAAGGATTCACTTTTCCAAAGCATTAAAGCAATTGCCATAATAGGTGAAAGCCTGAACTTCTATCGGATTTTTATTAATTTTTCTAATTTTGAATTGTGTACACCACCATTGTGACATCAATTTAATACAGTGTTGAAAAATTACCAGTTATATTTGCTGTTTATAATCTATTTGTAGAGTAGGATTAAAGTGGATTTAGTCCATTTTTATAACTGTGAATTTTTCTAAACAAAAACAGCCATTTGCAACATGGGTTTTCACAGTGATTAAACCAATTATAACTTTTCTCTTTAGCAGTTGAGAGCACATGTTCAATATACCAATGTAAAAGTACACTAATAAATATTTGGTAAATTCCAGTAGGCTTTTGACATTAGCATAATATTGTGTTGTACAGTTAAGTTACAATTACATCTCTAATTTTGGATAACATTCATTGGTTAACAATAAAGTAACAAAAGCTCATGCCTTTAAGGTCCACTGTTGTTATTTAACAAGGATTTCTTATGTATTTCCTGGAAATTACAATCTCTGTCAGAGCCATAAATCATTAAGTCTTTAAATATGTTTTTTAAATAAGAAGTGTATAGGAAAAAAAATTAATTTCTTAAGATTTAATCTCCCCCAAATTATTTCTCTTGGTATGGACGTAATAGTGAATAATTCTGTGGAAAAATTAAATAATTAAATTAAATTGATTCTCTTGACAGTAGAAAGTGATTTAGGGTTTCCCCTCATTGCTTTTTTTTTTTTACATAGAGTTCAGTTTTTTGTTTGTTTTTCCGAGGAATATAGCAGTTTTGTTGTCAGTCATTTATCTCACTATTCTTAATATTCAGGACCAGCAGATGGTGTAATGGTTACTTTGCTGGACTCCCAAATGGCCAACTGCAGTTCAAGTCCTGGACCCAGTGGTTTAAAGCTCATGCCAGGCAGGTGTCTCTGTGTGCCCAAAATCCCAAGAGAAGAATGGAGGAGGAGGAATTGCAGTGTGTCCATCTCCCTTCCCCCCAAGAGAGTTGATTTCTTACTTTCTCTCTCTCTCTGTCACTCCTGCTCATGTGCCCTATAGCAAAAAATCTCTCTTTAAAAAAAAAAAAAATCCTTCTCAATATTGTTTAAAGCACTGCATGCTAATAAGAACAATACATTTATTTAAGTATTTTCTTAGAGCATTTTTAACAGAGAAGTTAGTTATCTAGAATTTAATTGCCTTTTTGAAAGCTTCTCATTTTTAACAAGGCTTCTTAGATAAACAAGTGATAAATTAGTACAAACATAAATGATAGTCCAGTGTCTTCTCAGATTATAGTATATTTGGCTTTATTATTTATTTAAAAAAAATTTTAAGAATTACCTATTTAACTTTATTTAGTTTTATTCAGTTTGATCAGAAAGAGTCAGAGAGAGAGGGAAAAGTGAGAGTAAGCAGTCAGGTCCCAGACTCAAACAGCCATCACCTATGTAGAAGTTCAGTGCCTTAACAACCACGTCACCCGCCAGACCCTACTATTTATTTTTTCTTATCTCAAGGGCAGGTAGTGATTTCTTTACTCTGATCCTCTCAGAAAAGGGAATTTTATATAATAATCCTTTGCTTTATGTCTAGTTATAGTTTTTCTTTAAGAACTAGAATTATCACTTAGAAAGTTATCTTGGACTTTTGAGATTCACTCTTGGTTACCATTAGAAAAGGGTTTCGATGTTAGTGTTGTGATTTTTAAAAAAAACTCCCACTATTTTCTGTCCCAATTTTAATCACTGAGTTGATGGGTGATATTTGTAGAGATAAAGATAACTTTAAAAAAAAAAAAACAACCTGTGCTTTATTATTTTTTAATTTTTATTCATTGTAATTTTTAAAAATTATTTTATTTTATTGACATTGACCAGAGAAAGACAGAGAGAGATAAGGAAAATGAGAAATCAAGCTGCCAGGTCCCAGGACTCGAACCATGGTCAGCCATGTGGGAGTCCAGCAGCCTTAACCACCAGGCTACCTGCCAGCCCCAAGATAATATTTTTTTAACCCAAGAGTATCCCATCTTATGTGTGGATAAGGAAAACAATTAATCTTTTTAAAAGTTAAAGCTTGAGGGCCAGCCAGTGGCTTGGTGATTAAGGCAGCTGGATCCCACAGGGCTGATGAGTGGTTTGAGTCCTAGACCTGACAGCTTGAAAAACACACTGAGTGTGTGTGCGTGTGCATGCCCAAAATTCTGAGAGGAAGATGGAGGAGATTGCATCGTGGCCCTCTCCCATGGGGCTGATTTCTCTCACTCTCCCTCTCTTTCTTGCTGTGTTGAGGTGTACGCACCCTATAGCAAAACTGAAAAAAAATAAAAAACAACAAAAAATTAAAGTATAAGGAATTACTAACGTTAGCATTAATTTCCTGAACTGTTAGTAAGCCAAAGCTTGGATATTGTTAAGATAAAACAGTTAAATGTGGAGCTACACTGGTATAAGATTCCTCTTATATTGGGTCATTGGAAAAATCATGACCTATTTTTCTATGCAAAAATGTGTCAGAACAATCCAATAGCTTGTTCTAAATGAATAGAACTTTAGTATTTTCTTATTTTGTACCTTCTTCATACTTTCTGTAACAAGATCAAACCCTATCACCCTATCATGTAGAATGTCAGTAGTCTAGCACATTTCAATGACGCAGTGGATTCTGCAGATGTTTTTTGATAACTTAATAAAAATGCCTAGGCCTTCTACATTGGTAGCTAACAAATTGACTCAGTGGTGTTCCCTGTGTCAAAGCTTATCACATTCTGGGAACCAGCAGTTAGCGTAATGGCTATGTCGCTGGACTCCCACGTAGTTGACCGCGGTTCGGGTCCCGGACCCGGTGGCTAAAAATCT